ATTTCTTCAGATGAGTATCACTACTGACAACTTTTCCTCGTGATGGCCGCAGCTATTAACGTTACAGAAACTACATACCTAATGGCAAGAAAGTGAGAGGCTTCGACACTGCAGTTACTCTCTCTGGCCCAAAGGAGGGGGGGTTCACCAACCAAGCCTGCATGTGATCCACTTGGAATCGCACCATCCAATGGCAGACGACGCAAACCGATGCTGTGTCCCCCTCGGAGTGGGAAGAGCCGCCGTAGATGCAAGTCGCCGCGGAGGGGAATCGATGTCCCAAGTCTCAGTGCTTGGCGACGCCTCCGATGGATGTTAGTGCCAAATCCCGTTATCCACAACTGCAGTGGCCCAGAAGGGAATCGTCCGCGCAACAGTAATTCAACACCACTTTGAACATGAATATATCTTCCATTTCAAGCACGCAGCTTTCCGTATCAACTATTGTGCTCCTGTCTACAATCCATATATGCCACGATGTGATCCCGTAAACCCGCCAACCGTAATCGCAGTGCGGGAAGTGCAACCTTTTGAATGCCGTTCGTAATGCCAAGAAACCAGCAAATTGTTGCTGGTCGCGTTCTTCTCCAAACTCCTTCTGCCCGTCCGAAGCCGGGCTTTGGTGTTTTTTTCTTTAGTAAACCTTCTTCTTCTCGTCGATGGAGAATTGGCCAGGGCCGCTGTTGACGAGCAGAAGGAGACCGCCGACAATAGAGAGGATCTGGAAGAAGTCGTACTTGGCGAAGTCCTTGTGGGGGTGGTGCTCGTGGAGCTAGAAATACATTAGCACGGAAGACGGCGGATGGACAAGTCCGTAACCTACAGTCCAGAAGTTGTTGACGAGGATGTTGAAGATGCTGAGAATCAGAACCAGGAGGGTGGCGCTGAACTTGGCCTTGAATCCAACGACAACCATGACGCAAGCAACAAAGCCAATCAGGGAGGTGATGATGCGCCAGACGGACCAGGAGCCGCTGAAGATGAAGCCAACAAAGAGGAAAATCAACAGGACACGGCCAGCAAGCTGGAAGTACATCTTGCGGTCCTTCTCGTCAAGGGTAGGCAGGCCTGCAAACGCCTTGGTCTTGCGAACCCATGAGTCGGAAAGAACCATGAGCAGGCCACCAATGACGGACAGGTTGCGCAGGAAGAAGTTGAGGTCGAAGATCAGGCCGTATCCGAGAGCCTGGGTGACGACGACGGCCATGAGGCCGGCGACGGCGTAGTCGGAGTACTTGCGGATGATGACGAGAACAGAGCAGGCAGTCATGGCGACAACGTTGGTAATGAGGAACAGATGCGTGATACCGGAAGGGACTGCAATATGTTAGCACGCGATCATCTGTCGGCTGTCGAATTGGGGACGTACTGTGTCGGTAGTCGTGCAGGTAGAGCAGCTGGTCGCTCCACTGGGTCATAATTCTGAGGGCATCCTCAAGGAAGGTGACAACAATCAGGAAGCGGCCGATGGCGGGCAAGTAGCTATTGTGAGACCCTCGTCAGCATGGCTCCAAAAGTCACGAGCTTTTCGGCAAGCTCCCTGCCAAGACCAAGGGTCCAACTCACGGCTTGACGGGCTCGCTGAGAGTGTCCAACATGTCCTCAATCTTGCTCGTCTGCTGGCGGATCATGTCCAGAGGGCTGGATTCCTCGTTGTCCATACTCGAGCCGCCAAAGGACGGGGGGCCACCGGCGCCCAAGCCGTAGGACGGGCCTCTTTGCTGAGCCATCGCGATGAGGAAATGATCGGGAGGGAAGATCGCAAGGGTTGGTGGACGCGGCTGTTGCACAAAAAGGTACAGACAGACCAGCTGTTTCGCTCTCTAATTATCCTGGTCGGGAAGCCGTCGGCAGAGGCGATGGTTGGTCTGGTGGAGGGTGTTGGTGTCGAAACCGAAAAAAATAAAAGAGGGTTAACCGCAGCTGAGGATCCGAGGGCTAGCCTTGACGTTTCGGCGGCTTTGGGTTGGGCGGCAGGTTTGCGACGACGAAAGGAAAAACAGAATTGACGGATTGGCCGTTGGCGTTGATAAAAAGAGACAAGGCCGTGAGCTGTTGGTGTGGTGACCGGAGGAGAAAGCGAAGAACGACTTGGGAGTGTCGAAGAAAGGGAACCGAAAAAGGAGGGCAAGCTGTCCTGAACGCAAAGGTAAGGCAAGGCAAGGAAGGTATGGTAGCGTGGATGACTTCTGGTACAATGTGTCCTTTCGACCTCCCGCGATGGATGCTTGAGGTCCGAGGTCCACTTTTTAGACAGAACACCCAGAACGGGTAGGTCGCTGGGCAGTCACCGGCATGTACCTGCCCAGACGCGAGGTACCTGCCCAACTGCCGCAGCTTCCCGCCCCCGCTGGTGTACCCGCGAGGGGGGAAGTACCGAGCTGGTTGCCCACCTGCCCAAGCTCTCCAAGTCTCAAGGTGCCTTACCACTGGGCTAGGTGTCCACGGGGGTTACGGTTAAGGCACGACTCCGCTAGCAGTGGACTGCTTTCAGCGTTTGAGCCACTGAGCGATGGCCGCTTGCTTGCTTCGGGTGGGCGAGTGGCTCGTGCGCGCTCAGTCCCTGGATTCGGCACGAACGCCTTCCTTTTGTTTTCTCTCGCGCAGCTCTCTCTGCTGTGCTTCCAGCAGCTGTCCCTCCGCGCTTGATTCTTTACGGAAGCTCCAAGCCGGTCTCAAATATCTCTATCTGCGGTCTCCGTTGGTGGACTTTCCCGCTGTCCCATAGTGGTTGCGCGATATGCCGCCTCCAATGATGTCCCGCAGAGAGCATAGGTAGGGCGACTCGACAAGCTTGCTCGCCTCAGTGAATTGACTCAGTCATCCTACCTCAAAGCTTAGGTAGAGCTCCCCTCACCAGGGTGACAGGCAGTCCCTTGCCGCGGGACCAACCCTTCCTCAGCGATTATCTGGCCTCTAGACGGTGCCGTCTCAAGACCGAGCAGGCGGTGCTTCTCAACAATCGTTGTACACGTTGCTGCCTATAGGATATGATCGACTATCAGTGGGCTGTAGTGAGCAAGCGACCGACGGCATCGTGGGCTTCAACGGCTGAGTGGGAGACCTCGGCATCGGGTCGTCGGCGAGTCAGCTAAAAATAGACTGCATCCTCCATGCAACCTCCTGCGTAAGCCAGACTGTCATTTTCTCAGCGAGTACTGCTACGGCAAGCCGTGGTATCAAGGCCATCCTTTTAGCACTGTTGTCAAAATACTTACACTTGAGTCTTGGAGCTGCTGTTGGATGTTACGGTACTCTTCATTCACCGGGCTGCTCCGTGGCATCATCTTAGTTACCGTGACCGATGTGGGGCCGTCCCGGCTGAAATTTCCGGTCTATCCGGCCTCACTTCGCAGCATCGAAGGACACACGAGAAAGTGACTTGTTGCTTGAAGTTTCCTCAGAAAGCCATATGGAAAGAAGGACAACTTGCATATGTAACGCAACCGCCAGAGTGCCGGGAGCCAATAGCCGCGGGGGCCGTTCTTCGAGTACCTTAATGACACTACGAGAAGTGGCATGCAGTGCTCGATGGATGAGAACGACAAGGCATCGTCGAGGATAGCCGACCAAATGTCAAACATGACAATGAATACAAATAGGCCAACGCATTGGCATGACCCTCCACTGCCGCTCATAATTCGATACAGATGCACTTTCCCACTGCAAACAGTTGTGCAATGAGAGCCCGATTTCCGGCTTAAGGGCTTCCAAAAGCCCGAGTCAACCACAACGTATATAATCAAGCACGAAGTGTAGAGTCAGTCACCTCTGCTTTTCAAAATTTATATTAATTGTGAGAAAAGATGTCCGAGCCAGATTGAAGTCAAGAATATGTTTCAACCTTTACTCAGCAGTCAGTCATAATGGTTGCATGCCTCTCTTCCCCCGCTAGGTTTGTCCCTCGCCTGTGTGAACTGACTGATGATCATGATCCCTGCGACTTTAGTGGCAGAAGAAAGTTGCTCCGAATTCTGTGCACGCACCACTGTAAGCGAGCGCCTCTTCTTCATTCACTCTTTTTGGGTTGCTGGAGCCAGCCCAAAAAGAACCGTTGAAACGCGCAGTGTGACACCAGGCAAAAAGGTGGCGAAATGCGCAAAAAGAGTAGTTGCTCCCAGTGAGGATTGAACTCACGACCTTTGCATATCTCCCGTTGGTAACGGAGGTATAAGAGCAATGTGCAAACCAGCTACACCATGGGAGCATGTCTTCCGCCAACCGTATTGCTGTACAAGTACCGCGGGCGGGTCCCACGCCGCTCTGACGTGAGGCTAGTGGGGTCTGGTGACTCCTACAAGGTGCTGGCCGCAAACACTCAATCCTCGAGCCAGAGAAAATAAAAAGTCGAAGTCCGTCAAGAGAGTTGAGAGCTTTTGCTTTGCGGCAATTTTGGCGAGTCCCTGGAAGCACATACAGTTGACGATGGCCTCCGTCCACTCCACATCCGTAAGGCTTCTTGACGACAGAGGAAAAGAAGATGACGGAAAAAATAAAGGGTACGTTTTGCCTTGAATGCACGGGTCTTGGAGTCTTCATGAAAGATGAAAGTTTCCGAACATGTGCACTTGCTTAATTATTTTGTGCAGAAATTCCAGAAGGAGGGGTCAGGTTGCACTTCGCCAGGATCATGCACGTTGATCGAACGTTCAAGTAGAGAGTCCTGATGCTAATGAGGTTGCCCTGGGAGTTCGGCGCGATGGACGTTGTTCATTATTTCTGGCCTTAGCACATCCCTTGAGCCAAATTATTTGTTCGTGAAGATGCACTTGGACATTTTAATGGTAATATTCTTACATTACTATGGAAATCACCAAGATCACTCCAACTAAGTCCGACGCCGTGCGGCCAGAAACTCCTGAGCAAAGAAACCATTTCGCCCACGTCCGCCCTCCCCAACGCCATGCCTCTAATTAAGCCCAATCATTTTCTCGTCTCTGATTACACAGGGCCCAAGGGCAGTACCCAAAGCTCTACAGGCTGTCATTCCCCCTCATACCCTAAGACTGTTCCTTACTTGGCCGATAGTCAGCTTCCTGCCCCGCAAACGAGAACCGCGGCTTGTACGCGGGGAGCGGGGAGTTACCCGGGTCAGCGGACGCCGGAAGCTCGACAGGCGCAGCCTCCAGCGCGGGGGCCGGCGGTGGGGCCGCGGCTTGGTTGTCCGGGGCTTCGACGGCGATGCTCGGCGCTATTGACGAAATGCGGGGGTCGCTGTTGTAGTGTTCGGTCAGTCTCTGCTAACCCCCGATATTTTCCTTCCTTTCTACGTCCATCCTCTCTCTCAGCACCATTGATTCGGATCAGACTCACTAATAGGCCTGCATGGAATGCGGCTGGGGGCTCATCGGGGGGCTGGCGCCGGGGAAGCCGCCGATGGGCGTGGGCTGGTCGCGGTACGTCCCGCTGAGCTCGCTTTAGTGGCTGTTCCGCCACCCCTGCGTCGCGGGGCTCTTGGGCTGCGCGCTGTAGTTGACCTCCGTCACGGGCGGGTGCGAGGCCGCCTCTTCGCCTCCTCCATGGCCCGACTGCGGGGGCTGCTGGTAGGCGCGCTTGAGGCCGCCGCGGCGCCCGCAGAGGTAGACGAGGAGGCCACCGAAGATGAGGAAGGCGGCGCAGCCGATCACGATGCCGGCGATGGCGCCGCCGCTGAGGTGGTGGTGGTCGTTGCGGGAGGCGTCGGACTCGGTTGGGAAGGGCTCGCCGGGGAGGATCTGGGTCGTCAGGGGAAGGGCTGCTTCGAGCTGCTTGTCGAGGGTTTGGGTTGAGTTCTGGGGAGCCCTGATGTTAAATTTGGGATTTCTTGAGGGGCTTGGGTGGGTTGGCGTGGCTTACCTCGTTGATGACGCCGATCATCTTCTCCTTGTAGCATGAGCCTGGGGCGCCGCAGTAGAAGAAGATGGGGTCGGTGTCGTTGACGCGGACTCTGAATCTTGGCATCTGGTTGGAGGTTAGATAAGTGATGAGACTCAGAATGATGGCAATTACATCGTTTGTGATGGCCTTGACGGGTTCAGGGCCGCTGTAGAAACCCTGTCGACCAATGTCGATGTACTCATAAGGCGTACAAGGGAAACCGAACTCCGAGCGGATGACTGAGTGTCCATCGGGGTAGAAGATCCATTCTGGTGCGTATTAATTGCTGTTCCTCGCAGTATAAGTGAGGTCTCACAACTGACCTATCGTGTCACCAACGTTGGCTGTCACTTTCGATGGTGAGAATGAGTATCCGGACTTTCACAAGTTAGCCAGAGCTGCGCAAGATCATGTTAGACACACTGTACATACAGCACCAACAGCGACAGTGTGAGTCTCGGCCGCCCCCGTGGCTTTCACTGTCGCGGCTCTTGTCCGAGTCGTCGTGATCGTACTGTAAAACGGCGTCGGTGTAATCGGGTCCGTTGACATCGTCGACTGGGCCCCTGCCAGCACCGCGAAGGCAGCGATGCTCAAGATACGTGACGATACCATGGCGAGCAACAACACAAATCGACTTGCTTCTTTGCGGATGTCGTACGAAACGAGTTGCTACGAGCGGAACCCGGCGAAGAGCTGGAAGGGACGGGAGAGGCGCTGGAAGAACACTGGGCGGGCATGGAGGAATACTTATTCGCTGCTGGCGATGTCGCAGTTGGCGCATGTCCCGGGCATAGCGACGAGGGCTGGGACCCGACCCCCGACATGGAGTGCGGGAGGGCTGTGACCGCCTGGGCGATGCCATGCAGCTGACGCTCTTCGACCATGTGGTGTTCCCCCTCCGTATGCAAGAAGAGCAGTTGGGTCAAGGGGAGAATTCAACTGGATCCCCTCCTTGGCAGGTCGGCTGGCAGAAAGAAAGTTCATGAAACTATGCAGGAATGTCCATCACAGGCGAGAGTGGCGTTCTGGCGAAGTCTTTGTTTGGAGGGCCATACACGAGTTCAGTCTCATGTTGAACGTAGGGAACTAGATGCCAGGATCACGCTGACGAAATCCTGGCAATGACAAAGAGTGCTGGATGTTGTACACTCACTCTGAAGTTATATTGATGATTGGAGTCAATGGCATCTTGCGAATGTCAGCCGTTGATTCTTAGACTGCCTCGTTTTAACCGGGCACTGGGACGCTGAATCGCCAGAAATCGCTCCGGGCAGCCAGAGGTGGCAAGAGTTCAAAATGTTTATCGGTATCGATAGACCTCATCAGTATGCCGGATGACAGAACAGTTCGCGGAGTAGGATGTAACCGTCCTTGGCAGAAACTTGAAGGATCTAGAGATTGGACGACAAGCCCCTTCAGCTTGTCATCTTTCGAAAGCTTGGCATATTTGAGAGTTAACCGCAACAGGGCTGAATCACTTTCAGGGATACAAACGAAGTTTCCCCAAGGCAGCCAAGTTTCTGTCGGTAGGATGTTTTGATGAACAGTGCTCTGCGACTCGCTTATGCTTGAAGAAGCTCTTTCCAAGTGATGATCGCCGTCCTGAGATTAGACCTTGCGGCTATCCCTAATTCGTGGTCGTTGTCCGGCCGCGACGCGGCTCTCAGATTCTCGATGGACCCTGAAGTCGTTGACTAGGTTTAGCCAACCGGACAGTCTTGAGTACTATCAGTGCAGCCAGAGAGAGGCAAGATAGTAGCAAAAAAAAACATTTATCATGATCATGTAAATTGAAGTCAGCGTCAAGAAGAGACGTGTATCATATGGCGGACCCAGAGATGCCTTGATATTCAGTACATGGAACCACCCCCAACGGCCAGAGGCAGGCGGACAACAGGGCAAACATTGGGGAAAGGTCTGACGTTCCGCTGAGGGTTCGGACAATACAGACGCTAGAGCATTGTCAATCGTCTTGGTGTCGCACTAGCGCCGAGGAATGGGCAATGTTTGGCGGGGACCCCTCAGGGCTGAGAATGAGACAATATTTAGACATGCGAATAGTCCCTCTCCCTTGGAACAGACAACCTTTCCTTCAGTCGTCTGGACTTGCGCAGTGTCCCCAGGTCGGCTGAGCTGGGCCCAGCTGGGCGGTGCCGGAACTCGGCACTGGGGGTGCAGTAACCCACATCAACGAACGGTCGTGAACTTTGTTTGAGATTGCTGACTGCATTCGTCTGTCACCGTCTGCTTCTGACAGAAGCCGCTTGAAGACAACAGGAGAGATATTGGAACGGTGGGCAGTTTGGAGATGCGAGAGACGTTTGATTCACCAGGGCGCAACAACTCTACGAGGCGTCAAGTCTGAAGGGAAGCAACTCAGACCGAGATCGCCGCCATCTACGTGTAAGTCTTGGAGAGAGCCCTGGTCGGAGGGTCGCCAGGTATGCGCCGGACTTCGCCTGCCATCGGCCTTTGAAGCATGGCGAACGTGGGTTGCATGAGGCGAAGAGCCAAAGGATTCGGCTTTGCCCCTGGTGGTCCGGGATTGGGGCTGCATTTTGCACGGACCAAGCTCATGGTGCAGTGGCTTGACGGGATTCCGATATTGTAGAGGCATTCAATGTTTTCAAAGAGAGCAGATACTTGGTTGCCCAATTATGAAACGAACTAGAATGAATGCAGCGTAAATCGAAGAAAACAACAAGCCAGAGCACGACGAGCGCAGCCCCCACACGGAGCCCCTGAGAAATGGCTCACCCAAGCGAGACTCTTGCCTTCGCATATCTGAGGAATAGTCTCCCAGACCACTAGAAACATAGGCATCCCGAGTAGAAGCTTTCATGAGTAAGATGTCGCAGAAATCACCTGGAGCAATTAATACTGGTTGCAATCGTCGACTGTTCATTTGACGACCTAGAGTCGTCATCCCCCGAAGTCAATGAGGAGGTTAGATGACTGCTATTGATGGTTGCTATGCAGGATAAGTATTGTGTCAAAAGGGAGTCTGTTATCGTCCAGGGCCTTCTCATTAAAGGTCTCAGAGTTCTAGATAACGAAAGTTAAAGGAGAAGCCCATCACGAGACAATTCGTGGTGTTGTTTCCTCTTCATGATGACTAATTTGAGGCTAACCAAAAGCGTGCTTGGCGTGGAAGGAAGCACCTTGGGCGGGCCCAGAGGTTCGGACTGATCCACTCTCCGCAAAGCTTCCAGCCAATCAGATGTCAGTTTCAGAACTCGACCTCTCAGGGAAAAAAGTTCCAGCCTCGCGCCGGTGGTCAAGACGCCTGCGCCTTCGCCTCATCCGGGAGTCTTCAACTCCATCGTCAATCACCTCTTCCAGCTTTGACTGTCCATCATCTAATAGCATCCTTGTTACGCTACGCGACGTCGCAAACATGAACGGCGACGGCTACTCTCGCGGTAAGTACCATTGGCGACCGACGCGTCCGACTGCTTTGTTCTCCTGTTCCTAACATCAGCCTCTTTTGAAGACGGACGAGGAAAGGGATCTCGCGACTACCCGGTAAGAGCTGCACCATCTCCTTCCTGGTTGACACTGCCTAATGACATGACTGCAGAGAGATCGTGGAGATCGTGATGATCGACGTGGTGGTGACAGAGACAGACATCGCGACCGAAGACGCTCCCGTTCGCCCTACGACCGAAGCTCCAGACGTCGCGACGACGAGGACAGCTACGCTACTAGCCGCAGCCACCGCGAGCGCGAGCGCGAGGACCGATACTCTGGACGCGATAGACGTGGCGATAGGGAGTGGGATCGCGACCGCGGCTCTTCGCGACGCGATGCCAGGAGAGACGACGATGACCACCGACGCAGAGACCGCGACCCCTATGACGACCGACGCCGAGGCGGACGAGGCGACAGACAGCAACAACAGCAACATGATGACGGTGGTATGGGCCGCCGCGGCGATCGCCAACGCAGCGCGACACCACCCCCCAAGAAGCGGGAACCGACGCCTGACCTGACCAACGTCACGTCGGTCCTGGAGCGCAAGCGACGTTTGACTCAGTGGGACATCAAACCCCCCGGTTATGAGAATGTCACTGCTGAACAAGCCAAGCTGTCAGGCATGTTCCCACTCCCCGGTGCTCCTCGCCAGCAGCCCATGGACCCTAGCAAGCTCCAGGCCATCATGAACCAGCCAGGTGGTCAGGTCAACAGTGCAGCGCTCAAGCCAAGCAACTCGCGTCAGGCGAAGCGACTTCTCATCAACAATCTCCCCCCTTCTGCGACGGAGGACAGCATTGTCGGCTTCTTCAACCTGCAGCTTAACGGCCTGAACGTGATTGAGAGCACGGATCCCTGCACTAGTTGCCAGCTTTCCCAGGATCACTCCTTCGCAGTCGTTGAGTTCAGAAACGCTTCAGAGGCCACAGTGGCATTAGCTTTGGATGGGATTACGATGGAAGCTGACGATGCCACGAATGGCGCCGCTGGTAGCAACGGCCTGGTCATTCGTCGCCCCAAGGACTACATCGTTCCGGCTGTCGTCGACGACGTGCCGTACGAGCCGGGTGTCGTTTCAAACATTGTGATCGATACGCCGAACAAGATCAGCATCGCGAACATGCCTCCTTACCTTTCGGACGAGCAGGTCACAGAGCTGTTGGTCAGCTTTGGCGAGCTGAAGGCGTTTATTCTTGTCAGAGACAAGAGCACGGAAGAGTCTCGCGGTATCGCTTTTTGCGAATACGTCGAGCCCTCTGCGACGGACGTGGCGATCCAAGGACTTAATGGCATGGATCTTGGGGACAAGAAGCTGAGGGTCCAGAAGGCGAGCGTTGGAGTCACTCAGGTTGCGGGAGTCGAGATGGGCGTGGCTGCCATGTCCATGCTTGCTGGAACAACCTCAACAGACTCTGAAGAAACACGCGTCCTGCAGCTGCTCAACATGGTCACTCCGGAAGAGCTGATGGACAACGACGACTACGAAGGTAAGAAGCACGAACGCGGTTGGTTCCACAAGCACTAACTTTGCATAGAAATCAAGGAAGACGTCGAGGAGGAATGCGCCAAGTTTGGCAAGGTCCTTGACGTCAAGATTCCTAGACCCGTGGGAGGCAGCAGACAATCTGCTGGCGTTGGCAAGATTTTCGTCAGGTTCGAATCAAAAGAGGCGGCCAAGAAGGCATTGCAGGCGCTTGCAGGACGCAAGTTTGCGGATCGAACTGTTGTCACGACCTACTTCCCCGAGGTAAGCTGCCCTTGACCGCACTTGTTCATGAATATGGCTAACAGTGATCGTCTCCAGGAAAACTTCGAGGTTGGTGCTTGGTAATTGCTGTCATGTTGGACACTATGGAGCAAGGGGGAGTCAATACTGGGGATGGTACATCCGGACGAAGAAAATTTCAGGCTGTTCATTTTTCGACTGCCTTGTAACCAACCAAACTGCTGTATCATATTTTCGCGGCACACGGTCGCACGGTCGAGCAGGGCATGGGGCATTCAATAAGTTGCAAAAGTTGCGAGTAGGCTTTTCCAAGTAATGCTTTGGGGAAACCGTTCATGGGAAGTCTGAAATCGTGGAGTGCCCCGTTCAGGAGATATTCAGACACGCCTTCAAGCTTTGCGACTCTAATGGCCAGAGGACGTCACCGGGAAGCGCACGAAGAACGCGTATCAACACAGGAGTTAGGGAGAATGATTTGAACCACGGTCAATTTGCTATCTGCTATCCTTAATACAATCCAACCGTGCATACTGCCGCATTACCAGACTGGGACGCGCCACTTGACGCGTCTGCTATTGAACTGAGAATGTCGACGGAAGTGACTGTCTTTATAACCATGTTAGCTTGACGTTTAGGGCAAGTTTTCAAACATGACGGCGAGGTTGGGGTGAAGATTCAGAAGTCCAGTTCATTCATCAAGCCCGAAGGCTTTAAAATAAGAGGTACCAGAAAAAGTAAAATAAAGGTGAGGATCATCATTTCATGGAAAGGGTGAATGGTGTTGAAGTGACAGTAGAAGATTCTTACCTGAGGAAGCTCGAAGCAATACGACGTCGCGGACTGCAGCCTGCTGCAGATGCTGTTGGTTCATCCAAGAGATGAAGTTGGAGTGGCGGAAAGAAAAATCTCAAGCTCTTTGAGCTTGAGGTAAGCAAACTGGAGCACGGGCCATGTCGAGCCTGCACATATCCACATCGGACCCCACCATAGCGGGGCCTTCAGCCGAAAATTTTCCCAGGCCGAGCAGCTGGCATCAAGCAGGAGCGACCTGACCGACAGAAGGAACAGCTGCCCTAATTAAGCGACAATTTCCCGGCCGCACAATCCACCATCCACCACCCGCCCCGTACGGCAGTGCTCAACCTCCAAGATCTGGATCGCGAACTTTTTTCCCTTTGCTCAAATCCGACCAGCGACCGACCGACCGACTGACCCCTTAACCAGCCGCCAAACAACCACCTCACCAAACCGTCAAGATGGGCCGTCTTCACTCCAAGGGAAAGGGTATCTCCTCCTCCGCGATCCCCTACTCGCGCAACCCCCCCTCGTGGCTCAAGACCACCCCCGAGCAGGTCGTCGACCAGATCTGCAAGCTGGCCAAGAAGGGTGCCACCCCCTCCCAGATCGGTGTCATTCTCCGTGACTCCCACGGCGTTGCCCAGGTCCGCGTCGTTACCGGTATGTTTTTGGTTCCCTTCGAAAAGACCGAGGAAACCTTTGCTGACTTTGACATCTCAGGTAACCGCATTCTGCGTATCCTCAAGTCCAACGGTACGACCCCATACGAGTGAACAACCCAAAGCGGCGATGCGAACATGTTTTCTCGAAAACACGCACGACATCAATTCGTCCGCGAGCGAGACGTGGAATGGAGCACACACACTCCGCCAAATCCCGTCTTCGTCTCTTTTACCGCATAATTGTGCGCCTCTGTATGGTCTAGGCTGACAGAGAGATGATGAACAGGCCTTGCCCCCGATATCCCTGAGGACCTGTACATGCTCATCAAGAAGGTACGTTGCTCCCCATCTCCAACCCAAGGCTGGACAGGCTTGGGAAGAATTCGCTATGGAGTGTCTGGAGGAAACGGGTTAATTAACTTGTCTCGCGAACCACAGGCCGTTGCCGTCCGCAAGCACCTCGAGCGCAACCGCAAGGACAAGGACTCCAAGTTCCGCCTGATTCTCATCGAGTCCCGTATCCACCGTCTCGCCCGCTACTACAAGACCGTCGGTGTCCTCCCCCCCACCTGGAGATACGAGTCCGCCACCGCCTCCACCATTGTCGCCTAAGCGTAGACTGTCGTCTGACATCAGTCGTCGTCGTCTTGCGTATTTGAGGGGAAGAACAAAAATGGATTGGAAGGTCGTGTTCCTCCTGTTCGTATGATGCGAACATGAGACAATGAACCAAAAAGCGCCGCCGCGAATGTACGTGTGCGTGTGCAGTGTTTGGGGGTGGAATCTGGTCATGGAGTTGGGGGGTAATTGCATTTAGAGCTCCGATGCACAAACAGCTCTCTGGACTTAGGCCCGTCGGTTTACATGGCGTCAGCCGAGGATGAATGAAAAACAGAAAAGTTTTACACCCCCCACCATCCACAACTGTCAACTTGAGAAAGAGTAGACACAAAACAAACATGAGACGGTTGATCAGCGTCAAACGTGTTTGAATGACATGCCCGGGCTTGCTCTGATGATTTAAATCAAAAGTTTCCTGATGAGAACGTGTGGTATTATTAAAGGGCTGTCCATGAATCTAAAGCGGCATCAAGCCTGAAGAATTCGACCCGTAGAAAAACTTCTTTTGTACCTCCTGAACGCCTGGCTAGTCCTTTAAAGCCACTGATATATCGGTGGCCGATCGTCGGATGTATGCTATGCCTCGCATGCGAGCAAAGTCTCTCGCATTTTATGTGCCCAATATCATATGGTGTGTTCCGCCCCACGTGTAGGGAAAACGCATTCAACTCGACTCAGGCTCGCCGCGCTCGCGGGACTTTTGGATGAGGAACTCGCCCAAGACCTTGAGAGGGTTCGCGGGCCTAACGCACGAAAACGTGTCAGCATCTAGAACCGTAATCCCATTAGGGAGCGGGCAAACTTACTGGTCTCTGCCAATCTTCTTCATTCCCTCGAGTAACGCCGCCGTGACGGTGGAGTTGATGTACATTCGGGCGCTGTCACCGTGAGGCGTGGCCGCGTTCGGGAGGTTGAGCGAGTTCGTGTCGGGGTGGACGGAGCCTGCGCGTGAGCTCGCATCGCCGTTGTTGAGGTTGCGGCTGGGGGTTCCGGTGCGCGGAGGCGCTGCGGGAGCCGGGCTCGGGGCGGCTTGGGGGACAGGCGCCGGGGACTGTGTTGCAGAGTGGTTAGCGCGAGTGAACAGGGAAGGAGCAGTTGATGGTGTCATACGGAAGCGACGTCGGGGGCGTCGGCCATGGGAGCGTCCACCGTGGAGGCGGCGTCTGGGTTCGCGCTGGGGTCGGCTGCCGGAGGCATCGTGGGTTCTGTGGTCGAAGGAGGAGCAGGAGGAGCAGCGAGGGCGGCGGGCGCGGGTGGTTGAGGGGTTGGTTCCGTCGGTGGTGGGTTTGACATTGCGGAGGAAAGAAGGAAGATGCAGCGGGAGACGATACGAGAGGTTGTCGGCTATTTGGTCTGGGTGGATTGGCAGAGGATTAAGCGGGAGATGCTTAAGCGGGACATGCGCTGGGTTGCTGAGCGAATGCGACGGGTCCTGGGGATTCTAGATGCGCGAGGAAGATGGAGAGCTTTGTGGAGGGGAGGTTGGGGTATGCGCCGAGGCAAGAGCAAGCTTTGGATCGCTGCAGGTACTCTGAAATATGGGACGGTGAACCCAATTGACGCAATTCGAAGTTGATTCCAAGGTTTTTGCTTCAATTGACTACGGCGAGAGCATCGAGATCTTGGACCCAGGCTAGGCTATGATGCAGTGGATTACAGCAAGATTCGACAGTTCCTGCCCGGGGGTCATTTACGCGGGGTCACCTGACGTCGCGTTGGAAATCGCACTTTACCCCCTGCGGCTGCCTGTTTCCCAGCGCGTCTCATTCTTTCTTCCCCGCGAACGCCACGTCGTGAATGACATAACTTGGCCAATCTACCCCACGAACCCTACGTTTCTTTGGTGTTGCGTGCTGTCTGACAATGTTGAACCTGTCTACGCCGCATGATGGATGCGTTCGTACAGCGGCTGCCGCGGCCCCGACCACAGCCGCCGTCGAGGTCGCCCACACGACCGTCGCCACTGGGTGAACGCCCCGCCAAGAAGGTTAAGATCGAGATTGCGGATAGCGATGATGATGACGACGAAGACGAGGCTGACACCTCTGGAATCACCGTCGACAATGCCTCTGACGCTGAAGACGAGAAGGATCGCCACGTGCGCCAGACTGCGATTGAAAGTGCGCTGCCGCCGGTGCAGGTGGACAAGGAGGCAATTAAGGAGTACGAGTTGATGAGGAGCTCTCAGGTCAGCGTGCCTGACGAGGAAGAAAATGATGCTGGGCCGGAGAGAAAGTGGGTGAGGGGAAAGAGCTCCATCTATGTGGACGCCTTTAACCTTGCGTTGGATACCGTCTTGGCTGACGAGGCGCACTTGTTTGACGCGAAGGAAGCTCATGTCTTCGAGCAATGGAAGCAGCTCGACTATGAAGCGCAGTATCTGTGGGTGCTGCTTAGTTCGACGATGTTTGGGAGGTACTGACAGTGAGCGCAGCTATGTCCGTTTGTTCCTGCGGAAGACGTCTGCGTGGCATCGTCAAGACCGGCTGGGATATTACAGTGATATATCGGACCCAGAGACAGCCGTCGAGAGTCTCCAGGAGGTCAGAGACTTGCCAGAAGTCGATGTTTCACCAGACAGCAACCCGGTCGAGGGTGTCGATCTTGAAGAGTTCAGTCTCAACGACACCTTCACTTTTGCGGATGCGTCCGAGGAGCACATCACCACCATTGAGGAGGCCGCATCGCTGCTAAGTCTAGATGAGCTCAAAGACCTGGCGAAGGAGGCCAGATTTCAAGGGCGCAACAAAGCAGATCTGATCAAGGCGCTGTGCCGCACCGGTTACCAGCAGACGGGCCTCTTCGCACACGGGCTTCAGAGGTCTGCTAGTGGAGAGTCGCCAAACGCCAGAGGTCCCCTGGGAGATGGACGGGATACCCCGCCACACCTCAGCAGGCAGGACTCGAACCAGACGGGGCACTTTTTGGAAAAGATCAGAGCCATCACTGGTCCTTGTATTAGGCTTTCGCCCCTGACTTACAAGCTTTTCGAGAGGGTCCACCTTGTTTTCTATCGGTCGGCAGAGTGGACAGAGAAGTCTTTAACAGCAATCATCCTCGCCAGCATCGCCAGGCGGAACTACCCCGAGTACATTGTCTGCCGAAGTACCAACATTTTTGCCTCCCGTAGGCACGTGCTCGAATTCGAGGCGGCGATCCGCGTGGAGGCTGACGTGGACTCCGTTCTGGAGTTCAATGGACCACCTGGAGAGGCAGGGTTTCGTAAGATTGTCGACATCTTCGAGCGTGTGTATCCGCGTTGGAAGATGCTCCTAAGCGAAGAGCAAGAGAAGGAGGCGCGAGTCTATGAAGAGGGTGAAGGCGCATACCTGAGAAGGTTTACCCCCGTCCACTCTTACACTCGCATCGTTCACAAAGCTGCCTATGTGTTTGGAAAGCTGAAGGATCATGAACGCGAGCACTCCCTTCTTACTGAGCTTTTAGGTCAGCATCTATTTCATCCGGCGAGACGAGGCAGCTGGTACCAGCGGAAGGCTCTTCTGGAGGAACACTACATGCATGCCCTCGACGGCAATCCAGTCTCAGCAGACCCGGACATACAGAAAAAGCACTGGAAGCGCATCGCTGCCGCGACTTGCGAAGCAGGCCTCCAAGATAATGACTGCCATCTAATATACCACTACGACTTACAGAAGCGCCTAATCAAGCTTGAGAAGCAGCTGCGCATACCACGCCGACTTCAACACGACTTCGGCCATGTTCGTCTTCAGAAACCCGTCGAGCACACGGTGGAAGGAATACAAATCAAAAAGGAAGACGTCCAGGGCAGGAATGGCCGGCAAGCCAGCACCAAAACGATCTGGGTTGACGAGCTGGAAGAAGGCGGCGAGTGCAGCGTCGAGGAAATGTGCCTCAGCTCGTACCGCAGCCAGGGTTACAAAGGCTTCCACGCTGAGGGTGGCATCGTCCGCACCCTCTTCGCGTACCTGTTTTACGATATTCTGTTCTTGTATATACCAAACGTCTTCCAGACGGCGTACCAGACGTGTCCGCTGGACCTGCATACTGACTCCTTCTACCCGACCCGCGCCTCCGAGATCAACCACCGGCTGGTGGACATTGCAAACGGCGGGGCAGAGCGCATCATCCGCGAGGTCGACGACCGGGAGCGTGAGAGGCGGACATGCGTCATTGGGCTCAACTGGGACTACGACGTCGAGGACCTCGTAGAGCTGGTGGGCTGTTTCGACGGCGGCGCGCTGGCGGCTTTGTGCAAGGTCATGGCGCAGGAGTACCGTCAGCGCGGCGGGGGCTTGCCCGATCTGATACTCTGGCGGACGGAGCCGGAGCCGGAGGTTATGTTTGCGGAGGTCAAGAGTGCGAACGACCGGCTGAGCGATACCCAGCGGCTGTGGATTCACGTTCTCACCGGGGCTGGGGTGAAGGTCGTTCTCTGCAATGCTGTGGCCAAAGAGGTCAGGGTGGTGGACTGAATCGTATAATTACAAGTATATGGAAAGGCATATCTCGGCACATCGAGAGCCATTACAGCTCTTTTCAACACGAAGAACGGGTTCTTTACGTGCAAAAGACCATGGCCCTTTGCGACAAGGGCAATGTCAATGTCACGGCCCCTGACGATGCCAGAAGGCTAGAGGAGTACCGGACCGAAGCATCTCCAGGTACTCTCGGTGAAGACGGTGTCGTCTCCGGTCTATATGCCAGGCACGTAGACGGCAGGGGAATTCCCTCAACATACTCATCACCATTTGCTCAAGCTGCAAAACTTATTCTCGCCAAGAGGGTTGGAACCCCCTCACCGAACACGCTCACCCAGCAGTATGGAAGAGATGTGGAGGATAATAAGGCTCAAGCTGATCCCAGACCAACACCTGGTACCACGTCACCAAACAAAAGGCCTGCGTGTCGTGTTTTGAAGCCAAAGAAGCGCAGTCAAGACCGCGCTTGTTGCTGTTAAGAAGAGTATCATGTTCAGCCAGCTTCAGGACAAGTGCCTGATCGTAGTTTGG